CTGTAGCAGCCTTCCTTGTGGGTTCCTGGGTTGTGTGCTGCAAGCAAACCCATTTTCACAGCAACTAGATGCTAGAACCATAAAATGCAATAAACTTGTATCAAGTACTGTAAGGCAGGTGTCACTTCCAAAATGGTCCGCACCAAAGGTTCCAGAGCCACCACAGCCCTCCCCCTCACTGCAAAAGTTGCAGGCATAGACTTGTAGGGGCCAAAGTCGAAACAGTGCTCCACCCCTGTGTGCCTGATGTAGGCCCCCAGTTTGTCTTCAAGGTCTCCTGAGTCATACTTCTTCACAGCACCCTTGATGGTTGCCTTCCTTGAAGCATCCCTGGCAAGCTTGAGGGATCTGCTGGCCATGGCTCACTCACCAGAAGGATGAAACAAAACAGTTGGCAGCACTGCCAAAATATATGCTGCAGCAAACAAACCGCAAGCACACAACCTGATGGCACAATAGCGTGTCAATCAACAAATTCTGCCTGTCTTGCTCCATGTTTGGTGCCTGTGTGTGCTGCCATTGCATTTGACAATCTGCAATCCTATCCTTAAGCTTTGCATTTGACAATCTGCTCAAGCTTGTCTTGCTCTAGCCCTTTTTGCAATCCTGCGTGGACTTTTCAGTCCACCCCTGACCCCGTTGGACTTTGCAGTCCTTCGTTGGACTTTGCAGTCCTTCCTTGGACTTTGCAGTCCTTCCTTGGACTTTGCAGTCCCAAGTATAGGAACCCCAAGAACAAACACAATGCAACTTCTTCATCACATGAAAACATGTAAAAATATCAATATTTAAATATCAATATTTTCTTGGAAATCTTAATATCATTTTTTTTCGAGCGAGCAAGATGGGAAAAACCAATATTTGTAAATTACCGAGCGAGGATTGGTTTCCTTTTTGAAAACCGAGCGATATTGGTAAAAACCAATACCCGAGACTTAGGGCAGTTGTGATGATAATCACGACTGCGCACCCTCTGCATCTCCAATCGGCTCTAACGTCACCCTTGAAACGTATATAAGAAGATATAAGCACGACAAGGATTATGATGTGATATACTGACAAGCGTGTCAGCATCATCATCGTCGTCATCATCGTCGTCATCATCGTCATCATCATCGTCATCCTGGTTGAGAACCATCATCGTGCATCCTTTGCATCACCAACAGTCGTGATGATAATCATGACTGCGCACCCTCTGCGTCTCCAATCGGCTCTAACGTCATCATCATCATCGTCGTCATCATCGTCGTCATCATCGTCATCTATCATCATCATCGTCATCATCATCGTCATCATCATCATCATCATCGGCATCATCATCGTCACCATCATGGATGATAACCATCATCGTGCAGCCTCTGCATCACCAACAGTCATGATGATACTCATGACTACGCACCCTCTGCATTTCCAATCGGCTCTAACGCCACCCTTGAAACGTATATAAGAAGATATAAGCACGACAAGGATTATGATGTGAGAAACTGACAAGCGTGTCATCATCATCATCGTCGTCATCATCGTCGTCATCATCGTTCGTCATCATCATCGTCATCCTGGTTGATAACCATCATCGTGCATCCTCTGCATCACCAGCAGTCATGACGATAATCACATCTACGCACCCTCTGCATCTTCAATCAGGTCGCAACAATGATGATGATGATGAGCATGTCATCATCATCATCATCATCGTCATCATCGTCATCATCATGGATGATAACCATCATCGTGCATCCTCTGCATCACCAACAGTCGTGATGATAATCACGACTGCGCACCCTCTGCATCCCCAATCGGCTCTAACGTCACCCTTGAAACGTATATAAGAAGATATAAGCACGACAAGGATTATGATGTGATATACTGACAAGCGTGTCATCATCATCATCGTCGTCATCATCGTCGTCATCATCGCCATCATCATCGTCATCCTGGTTGATAACCATCATCATGCATCCTTTGCATCACCAACAGTCCAATCGGCTCTAACGTCATCATCATCATCGTCGTCAGCATCGTCGTCATCATCGTCATCTATCATCATCATCGTCATCATCATCGTCATCATCATCATCATCATCATCGTCATCATCATGGATGATAACCATCATCGTGCATCCTCTGCATCACCAACAGTCGTGATGATAATCACTACTGCGCATCCTCTGCATCTCCAATCGGCTCTAACGTCACCCATGAAACGTATATAAGAAGATATAAGCACGACAAGGATTATGATGTGATATACTGACAAGCGCGTCATCACCATCATCGTCGTCATCATCGTCGTCATCATCGTCATCATCATCGTCATCATCGTGGTTGAGAACCATCATCGTGCATCCTCTGCATCACCAACAGTCGTGATGATAATCATGACTGCGCACCCTCTGCATCTCCAATCGGCTCTAACGTCATCATCATCATCGTCGTCAGCATCGTCGTCATCATCGTCATCTATCATCATCATCATCATCATCGTCATCATCATCATCATCGTCATCATCATCGTCATCATCATGGATGATAACCATCATCGTGCATCCTCTGCATCACCAACAGTCATGATGATACTCATGACTACGCACCCTCTGCATCTCCAATCGGCTCTAACGTCACCCTTGAAACGTATATAAAATAAAAGAGAAGCACGACAACGATTATGTATGATACAAGCGTGTCATCATCATCATCGTCGTCATCATCGTCGTCATCATCGTCATCATCATCGTCATCCTGGTTGATAACCATCATCGTGCATCCTCAGCATCACCAGCAGTCATGACGATAATCACATCTACGCATCCTCTGCATCTTCAATCAGGTCGCAACAATGATGATGTGATGATGAGCATGTTATCATCACCATGGTGGTGATTATCGTCATCATCATCGTCATCATCATCATCGTCACCATCGTCATCATGGATGATAACCATCATCGTGCATCCTCTGCATCACCAACAGTCGTGATGATAATCATGACTACGCACCCTCTGCATCTCCAATCGGCTCTAACGTCACCCTTGAAACGTATATAAGAAGATATAAGCACGACAAGGATTATGATGTGAGATACTGACAAGCGTGTCATCATCATCATCGTCGTCATCATCGTCGTCATCAGCGTCATCATCATCGTCATCCTGGTTGATAACCATCATCGTGCATCCTCTGCATCACCAGCAGTCATGACGGTAATCACATCTACGCATCCTCTGCATCTTCAATCAGGTCGCAACAATGATGATGTGATGATGAGCGTGTCATCATCACCCATATCGTCACCATCATCGTCATCGTCATCATCATCATCATCATCGTCATCATCATCGTCATCATCATGGATGATAACCATCATCGTGCATCCTCTGCATCACCAACAGTCGTGATGATAATCACGACTGCGCACCCTCTGCATGTCCAATCGGCTCTAACGTCACCCTTGAAACGTATATAAGAAGATATAAGCACGACAAGGATTATGATGTGACATACTGACAAGCGTGTCATCAGCATCATCGTCGTCATCATCGTCGTCATCATCGTCATCTATCATCATCATCGTCATCATCATCGTCATCATCATCATCATCGTCAGCATCATCGTCATCATCATGGATGATAACCATCATCGTGCATCCTCTGCATCACCAACAGTCATGATGATACTCATGACTACGCACCCTCTGCATCTCCAATCGGCTCTAACGTCACCCTTGAAACGTATATAAAATAAAAGAGACAAGCACGACAACGATTATGTATGATACAAGCGTGTCATCATCATCGTCGTCATCATCGTCGTCATCATCGTCATCATCATCGCCATCCTGGTTGATAACCATCATCGCGCATCCTCAGCATCACCAGCAGTCATGACGATAATCACATCTACGCATCCTCTGCATCTTCAATCAGGTCGCAACAATGATGATGTGATGATGAGCATGTCATCATCACCATGGTGGTGATTATTGTCATCATCACCGTTGTCATCATGGATGATAACCATCTTCGTGCATCCTCTGCATCACCAGCAGTCATGATGATAATCATGTCTACGCATCCTCTGCATCTCCAATCAGGTCACAACGCTGACGTCATCATCGTCATCATCAATATCATCATCGTCAGCATCACCAACATCACCGTTGTCATCATGGACGATAACCATCATCGTGCATCTTCTGCATCACCAACAGTCATGATGATAGTCATGACTACGCACCCTTTGCATCTCCAATCGGCTCTATCGCCCTTGAAACGTATGTATACAAAGAGATAAGAACGACAACATCATGTCTACGCATCCTCTGCATCTTCAATCAGGTCGCAACAATGATGATGTGATGATGAGCATGTCATCATCACCATGGTGGTGATTATCGCCATCATCATCGTCGTCATCATCATCGTCGTCATCGTCATCATCACCGATGATAACCATCATCGTGCATCCTCTGCATCACCAACGATCATGATGATAGTCATGACTACGCACCCTCTGCATCTCCAATCGGCTCTATCGCCCTTGAAACGTATGTGTATAAAGAGATAAGAACGACAACATCATGTCTACGCATCCTCTGCATCTTCAATCAGGTCGCAACAATGATGATGTGATGATGAGCATGTCATCATCACCATGGTGGTGATTATCGTCATCATCATCGTCATCATCGTCATCATCACCGTTGTCATCATGGATGATAACCATCATGGTGCATCCTCTGCATCACCAACAGTCATGATGATAATCATGACTACGCGCCCTTCCCGCGCGCCTCCCCCTTTGAGGAGAAGGGGTCGGCGGATTTCTTGTCCTGCAAAACATAATTATAATATGTGCACAAGACACCATCCAGCAGGATCAACAGATAAATCCATGCTCCATGAACCCTGGTTCTTGCGCTTTGGGTGTCGCCAAGGCCAAGGCCTGGCCAGCTTTGCAGTTACAGCTTCCCCCGACAATTTCCGCGTCTCGCACCTGCCAGGTTGCTCAGGAGGATCAGGACTCGCTTGACGGGCCAGCCTGCCTGCTTTGGCCGAGGCTCCAAAAAAGAAGGCTCCACCTTACAATGACAGCTGCAGCTTCTGCGGCCCCTTGGGTCCTTTGTCCCCGCTTTGCATTTTGCTTGATGTGGAAAGTTCGTTCGCTTTGGTGCTGGCTTGCTGAAGGTGAGCCCATCAGTAGCCACTCACCTGCGGGTCGAGTGCCACTCACATTGAATGATGACTGAAGGGTGGCTTCCTTAAAATCAGACGTGTGCCAAACCTAGGGACCCTCCAAGTGCTTGATTTAATGCCCGTGTTTGTTCAACCTTCTCTGGTTTTTTGACACGCCCCTTGGAGTATGGAGGTGGGTCCGTCCGAAGGAGCTGGTCCTGCAGAAGCCGCCTGCGCAGATTTGCCCGGCACCCAGCGATCCAAGCGAGTCCTGGCAATTGGATGCGCGCGCCTCGGAGCTATGAGGTATAGGAGGGAGGGCCTGAGCCAAGCTTCTCAGCTTCGGGGCAGCCTTAGGGCCTGGCAACTCGGAGAGCTGTCCATCAAATCAAAGTGGACATCTTCGGCCCATGGCGACCCTTACTAATTACGATGCTCGAAGGCAGGTGACCGGATTTGATTTAAAGGTCCATTGCAACTTACTGAGGGGCAGGTCACTGATTTAAAAGCCGTTGGAGTCGTGTGTGTTGTGTGTGGGTGTGTCTGCGTGTCACATCCGCTTTGACTGCCGGAAAGCCAGGAGCAATGCATCGCTGTAGCTTACTTACCAGCTGAAACAGAGCCGGAGCACAGGCATCACCCACAGCCAGGGTGTTGGGTCAAACCGCATTTGCGAGAACAGATCCTCCAAAGCTCGCTGACCTGCGATCCGGCCGGTCTCCGACGCGTCTTGCTGATGGCTCGCATCCGGCCACGCCTTGGAACCTGGGCTGCCAGTTCTTTTCCCCGAAGGTTTGGAGCTGTGCATGTGGGGAGCGGGGGATGAAACGGGATTTCCATGAATCCTTTGGGGGGAAAAATCGGCAGTCATCGAGTCAAATCGCAGCCTTTACAGAGGTTTTGTCCTACGGAGGGCATGGTTGTGTTTGCGGCTTGATGGGACCGCCACGACAGCAAAAGCCTGGTGTCTTCAAACCACTTCAAAAAGGACATATGTTTCTTGTTTGGATGTTTGTTTTTGTCTCTGAGATATGAGCATTGCCGCCACAGCTGCAGTAAGGAGCGGTGCTTTGCGCTGCTGCTTTGGCTACTTAGATGAAATCAGAAGAGCATTGCCAGCTCTTCTTTCCTTACGCCTGGCTGAGCACAATGACGGTACTCTCATGGAAACAAAGCCTTGGAGTTGAGGAAAAGACGGCGTTTCATGTTTTCAACAGACAGGTCCCTGAGATGTGCAATCAGGTTTCCGTTCAAGGCAGTGGAAGTTGAGCTGGCCTTTGGGACTGAAATCTGCTTAACTTGCTGCCCCAGGCAATCTGTGTCCATGTGGCGGACTGGTGCTTGCGGCAACCTCAGCATGCAGTGGGTGGGGTGTGGGAAAATTAGGAGGAATTTGAGCTACCCTACCAACCCGATTGGACGATTCTGGTGACCAAGGCCGCGCGGAAGGATACTGCGGCGCTGCTACCGCAAAACCCAGGCTGCAGAAGTGCTGAAAGGGCGGACGCGGGGGGCAACCGGGGGATCAAGCCTTGAACCCCGGCAGGCAAAATGAAACTACACATGTTTACTGCCCCAATGCCATTTGTGGTGCTTGCTTCACGTCACGAAGATATAGTGTGCATTATTTGCTTCAGGAAGGTTGCCATCCGGAAGGAGAGGTGCTTCGCAAAAAGTGCCCAAGGGAGAACATTCAGAAGAGGATTTTTCCCGAAAGCATCGCGAAGGGTTCTTCCGTGCGGAGCCCTTGGACAAGTTACATAGAGCCAAGTTACATAGAGCCAAGTTACATAGAGCCAAGTTACATAGAGCCAAGTTACATAGAGCCAAGTTACATAGAGCCAAGTTACATAGAGCCAAGTTACATAGAGCCAAGTTACATAGAGCCAAGTTACATAGAGCCAAGTTACATAGAGCCAAGTTACATAGAGCCAAGTTACATAGAGCCAAGTTACATAGAGCCAAGTTACATAGAGCCAAGTTACATAGAGCCAAGGCTAGGTAGAGCTTCGGCGTTAGCAGCTATGTAAGTTAGTTTAGGTTTCTTCTGCGCCGGGGCGGGAGTTTGATCGTCGCTCGGGATTGCGACCCTCTGCGGAGATTCGCGTGGTCGAGGTTCAAAAACTGAGGACTTTTTACGATTTCTGCATGCGCGCGCGACCCTCTGCGGAGATTCGCGTGGTCGAGGTTCAAAAACTGAGGACTTTTTACGATTTCTGCGGTGCGCGCGCGACCCTCTGCGGAGATTCGCGTGGTCGAGGTTCAAAAACTGAGGACTTTTTACGATTTCTGCGGTGCGCGCGCGACCCTCTGCGGAGATTCGCGTGGTCGAGGTTCAAAAACTGAGGACTTTTTACGATTTCTGCGGTGCGCGCGCGACCCTCTGCGGAGATTCGCGTGGTCGAGGTTCAAAAACTGAGGACTTTTTACGATTTTTAGCATGCGCGCGCGACCCTCTGCGGAGATTCGCGTGGTCGAGGTTCAAAAACTGAGGACTTTTTACGATTTTTAGCATGCGCGCGCGACCCTCTGCGGAGATTCGCGTGGTCGAGGTTCAAAAACTGAGACTTTTTACGATTCTGCGGTGCCGCGCGCGACCATGCGGGATTCGCTTCGGGTTCAAAAACTGAGGACTTTTTGCGATTTCTGCGGTGCGCGCGCGACCCTCTGCGGAGATCGTGCGCGTCGAAGCGCTCTCGCTGTGGCGCCGTGCAATTTGTCTTAGTCTCGGCGAACCCTCTGCGGAGATTGTGCGTGTCCAAGCGCTCTCGCTGTGGCGCCGTTTTTCTTGCTCGCGAAACGGCCTGGAAGTTGTCTCGTGGTTTGCGCGCCTGCTTTCGCAATCCCGCGGTCGCGGGTTCGATTCACCCCTGGTCCGCGGCAGCTCCGGCTTGAAAATCGCAGCTTTTAAGTACAAACGTAGTACGCGGAGCATGCTCCTGCAGCTCCGGCTGAAAATCGTAACTTTTAAGTACAGGCGTAGTGTGCGGATCGTGCTCCTGCAGCTCAGGCTGGAAAATCGCAACTTTTAAGTACAAACGTAGTACGCGGAGCACACCCCCGCAGCTCCGGCTTGAAAATCGCAACTTTTAAGTACAAACGTAGTGCGCGGAGCGTGCTCCTGCAGTGGCAAATCGCAATTTTAAGTACAGACGTAGTATGCGGAGCGTGCTCCCGCAGCTCAGGCTGGAAAATCGAAACTTTTAAGTACAAACGTAGTACGCGGAGCACACCCCCGCAGCTCCGGCTGGAGAATCGCAACTTTTAAGTACAAACGTAGTACGCGGAGCACACCCCCGCAGCTCCGGCAGCACTTGCGCAGAGCAACTTGCGCAGAGTCACTTGCGCAGAGCAACTTGCGCAGAGCAACTTGCACAGAGCAATTGCACAAAGCAGCACAGACCAACTTGCACAGAGCACATGCGCAAAGCGCTTGCACGGAGCAACTGGCGCAGAGCCCTTGCGCAGAGCAACTTGCTCAGAGCACTTGCGCAGAGCAACTTGCACAGAGCAGGCGCAGAGCAACTTGCACAGACCAACTTGCGCAGAGCACATGCGCAAAGCGCTTGCGCGGAGCAACTGGCGCAGAGCACTTGCGCAGAGCAACTTGCTCAGAGCACTTGCGCAGAGCAACTTGCACAGAGCACTTGCGCGCAGCAGCTTGCAGAGAGCAACTTGCGCGCAGCAGCCTGGAACAATGCAGCTTGCGCAGACCACTTTCGTGAGAAATCGCGCGGCGCAGTTCGAGAGGAAAGTAGGATGATGAGATGGAGCTCTCATGTGACCATACACACTGAGCATCGCCGCGCGCAGACACGCTCGCCGCAGCGATGTAAAAAGGTGTCTCCCGGGCCAATCGTCCTCTAGTTGTTTTGCAAACAGTGGAGCACGACATCGGCGCGGGTATAAAGCCATGTTTTTTGGTGGGCTCAAAAGTGTGTCCCTGGCCCCGTAATTCTAACCAGTGAATGCAAAACAACCAACCAGGTTGGCGCACCTGGACTGTCATGGCGCTGTGGGGCACAGAGAGTAGACCCAAAAATGCCAACCCTTTGGACTGTGGAGGGGTTCCACATGAGAGGTGCTTGATGAGACCATCAGTCCAAGCTTCCTGCCCGCCTTGGAGAAGATGGAGTCATTTGATGGTCCGCGCCTTACTGCCTGAAGTTAAAACTTGACTATGACACTTCTTTGGACGCCAGCTGAACCAACTCTCCCTATGTTCTCACTTTGGAAACTGGCGTGTGGGGACAATCTCAGCAGAGATTGCGAGTGCTGGTTCCGGAAGGCGCAGCAAGCATCAAGCAACCAATGGAACACACATCAATTTTGACTGGCAATGACTGAGCTGTAGTCTAGTCTGCGACTCTTCTGCAAACTGACCAACGCCTAACTTCATTCCGCATATGTTCCGGTATCTAAAAACAACATGATGCGTGCTGCGCTGCTGGCGCCCACCACCCACCCCCACTTTTTTCCCCAAACCTAAAGGTGTAGAGCAGAGCAACAACGGCAACAGCACAAAAGCAAGAAACACAACATTATCATTTGCACAGCACAAGACAGGCAGGCAAGCAAGCCAGCAACCAAGCAAGCAGGCACGCAAGCAAGCAAGCAAGCAAGCCTGCCAATTGATTGCCTAACTTACGATTTGCCCAGCTTACTAGCAGACCCGCAGACCAGCAACCCAGCAAACCAGCAAACCACCAAACCAGCAAGCAGAGGATACGGAACAGGCTCAGTGTTTTCTTGTCTCATTCAAGGCGAGGCCAGCTCTGTGCTTCCCTGCTTCCCGCTGCAACTGCTCCGGGCCGCCCTGCCTGGGTCCAAGCGGACGCTGAACGTCCTGGAGCCAAGCGGCCCGGTTTTGGTGGATCGGAGGGACGCCGGGGCGGGGGTGGTTGCAAGCAATTAAATCGAGCCAGACATTCATTGGGCCTTTTTGGTATATCGGACTTGTGAGGATTGAGAACCAGAAGAGAGTCCGAAACAGGCTGAAGAGCAAGTAATATAGGATAGACGCAGCAAAGACATCTAACGAATGAACATGTCAGTGCGCCTCGCAGCAAAGTTGGTGGGGCTGTTGCCGTTGCTGGGTCGCACATTGAAAGGCAGCTGGCTTGCGAGCTGTCGCCAACAGTTACTTCGTGGAAGAAGAAGAGAGAGCATGCATGTGTGCAATGCGAGACACTCCAGTTGATTGGGAGGCTTCCCTTTTTGATTCCTTCTATTGAGGTTTCTTC